ATTTATTACATTGAATTTATTTATTAAATTAATTAATTAAATTAAATTAATTAAATGAATCAAATTAAATAAAATAAATAAATAAATAAAATTAATTCAATTAAATTTTCATGAATTATTATCTAAACCATAAATCATTCCTAATCCAATCTTCATCCCGTCCCTTTCACTGCTGCAAGTGGAGCCGCGGGACCCCCCCGAGCCCCCCCGGGGGTCCCCTGGCCCTGACCCCCCCTTTTCTCTTCCAGGGACCCCCCCAACATCCGAGGGTGAGAGCTGGGAGAGCGCCGGAGCCCCCCCGGGGTCCCGACCCCACCTCGGGGGTCCCGACCCCACCTCGGGGGTCCCGACCCCACCTCGGGGGTCCTGATCCCACCCCGGGGGACCCGACCCCACCCCGGGGGTCCTGACCCCACCCTTGGGGGTCCCGACCCCACCCCGGGGGTCCTGACCCCACCTCGGGGGTCCCGATCCCACCCCGGGGGACCCGACCCCACCCCGGGGGTCCTGACCCCACCCTTGGGGGTCCCGACCCCACCCCGGGGGTCTTGACCCCACCCTGAGGGTCCCGACCCCACCCCAGGGGTTCCGGCCCATCCCGGGGGTCCCTCCCGGGGGTCCCAGTCCATCCCGGGGGTCCCGGCCCGTCCCGGGGGTCCCGGTCCATCCCGGGGGTCCCGGCCCATCCCGGGGGTCCCTCCCGGGGGTCCCGGTCCATCCCGGGGGTCCCGGCCCGTCCCGGGGGTCCCGCCCCATCCCGGGGGTCCCGGCCCGTCCCGGGGGTCCCGGCCCATCCCGGGGGTCCCTCCCGGGGGTCCCGGTCCATCCCGGGGGTCCCGGCCCGTCCCGGGGGTCCCGGTCCATCCCGGGGGTCCCTCGCGGGGGTCCCGGCCCCTCTCACTGCCGCCCGTGCCCGCAGGTTCCGCCGCTTCAACATCCTGACATCGAGCAGCAAAACGCTCCTGGCCGGGGACAGCCCGCAGGAGGGGCTGCTCTGCGACTTCCAGTACCTCGTAGGGACCCCCGACCCCCAGATCCCCCCGCGGGGGCGGCTGCGGCGCCCACCCGGGGCTGACCCTGCCCCTC